ACCCCCTTTCCCATTTTGGCCTTGGACCTGAAAGGGTTAAGGTAATATAACAACAAAGGATAAGAAAATGTATTTCTGATTCTGGGGGTGTTTCTAGGGGTCAGCACCCCCACAGCCTGGTCCATGACCAAGCCTAGTTGTGAATCACGGCCTGATCAACCAGGCTGTTACTGCTGGCAGTACAATCAACATAAACCCAAAACCGGCTGGTCAGGTACGATTTTGGTGTATTTCCCGTCCCCGAATTCGTATGATGACATGCGGAAAACATCATTATTGTTGTTTAAAATTCATCCATAAAGGTTTGCAGTTCAACCCACTTTGCACACATTTCCTTAACCCTTTGACTGTTTCGGTCGTATATATACGTCTTACGCACCACTGTTGCTGACGTATTTATAAGCGTAAATTCTAGCGGCTTCAAATCAAGCGGGAGAAAGCTGGTAGACCCACATGTGAGAGAATGAGTCTGTGTGGTCAGTGTGCACCACATAAAAAAAACCCTGCAGCACTCAGTGCATAATGAGAAAAAAAACTGACCGTTTTTTTTTTATTAAAACACCGAATTTGAGATGTATTTTCGTATAGTATTTATCGTTATATGTATTCTCGTTTTCATGGTCTCAGGTGATAAAATGGAAAACATATTACAGAAATAGAGATGATTTTGATTACTTTCACGATGAAAACGACCTTGAAATTGAGCTCAAAGTAGCGGAAATGTTTGATTTTTACCAATGTTCAGGAGTAAGCAAATCACACCACATGTCCAATACACTTCAACAGGGGAGTCTAATATTCTTTCACTAGTGCACTGATATTATTTATACCATTTTTACAATAATGCAGTAGTCTGCATAACAGTAAATTTTGTATTTTTTTGTACGAATAAAAAATCAAAACAGAAAGCAATAGTAATATAAGAGGGGCCTAGAGACATGACTAATGAACAGAGGATATGTTATTTTAGTGCCAAGAATGTCTACATTGTTTATTCTGGACCCTATTTTGAAATTGGCATCTTTTTTTAATTTGTGTGAAATTGGCCAAATTGCCAATTTCTGACCACTTTATTGGGTAGTTCAAATCGGTAAATGGGCAGTTTCTTGTACCCAACTGATAGAAAAAAATGGAGTTCTAAAGAAATAGCTATGAGTTTGGTCAACTGGAACAATGGAATTGGCCAAAAACAGGGCTCAAAGTCGGCGAAATCACCTATGCGTATATGTCGCTGAGACCGCTAACTTCGCAGGAGCGTAATTCCATGAGTTTTCGACCAAATTTTGTACTTTTGGTGTCATTACCATTGGGAAAAGATTCTCTATCATTTCATAAGAAAAAATAATTTTTTTTTTCCAAAAATTTATCAACATAGAATGACAGTTTCAGAAAGCGGCCTGTGACAGTCAAAGGGTTAATCTTTGAAGTAGGCAACTTCCTCAATTTCTCTCTCCCCTCCTCTGAAGCAGTTTCCTCAGGTCTGGCCTCTTGCTGTTGAAGATGATCTTGCAGCTCATCAGTGGTTAGTTCTTCATTGTCCTCCTCCATCAACTCTTCCACATCCTCCCCACTAACCTCCAACCCCAAGGACTTCCCCAATGCCACACTGGATTCCACAACTGGCATACGCTTCTCAGGGTTAGCCCCAAACCCTTCAAAATCCCTTTCTACACATTGTGGCCACAGTTTCTTCCAAGCAGAGTTCAAGGTCCTCTTAGTCACTCCCTCCCAAGCCTTACCTATAAGGTTTACATAACTGAGGATACTAAAGTGATCTTTCCAAAACTCTCTTAGAGTCAATCAAGTGTCTGAGGTCACTTCAAAGCACTTTTGAAACAGCTTTTGTGTAGAGTTTTTTGAAGTTTGAAATGACCTGCTGGTCCATGGGCTGCAGGAGAGGAGTGGTATTAGGAGGCAAAAACTTGACCTTAATGAAGCTCTTGTCCCCAGAAAGTCGCTCTGCCAGGTCTGAAGGATGACCAGGAGCATTGTCTAATACCAGGAGGCATGTAAGGTCCAATTTCTTTTCCATTAGGTAATTTTTCACAGTGGGGGCAAATGCATGGTGTAACCAGTCATAGAAAAAGTCCCTAGTGACCCATGCCTTACTGTTTGCCCTCCACAGCACACACAAATTAGCCTTGACGACATTGTTTTGCCTGAACGCTCTAGGAGTTTCAGAGTAATACACCAATAAAGGCTTCACTTTGCAATCACCACTAGCATTAGCACAAATCAAAAGAGTAAGCCTGTCTTTCATAGGCTTATGTCCTGGGAGTGCCTTTTCCTCCTGAGTGATGTAGGTCCTGCTTGGCATTTTCTTCCAAAACAGGCCTGTTTCATCGCAATTAAACACTTTTTTTGGTCAAAACTGGCAGCCTCGCCATGCCTTATCACACTATGTATGCCACTACGATTCTTAAATCTCTCAAACCAACCTTTGCTGGCCTTAAATTCACTCGCATCACCACTAGTTGCAGGCATTTTTCTAATTAAATCGTCATGCAACTTCCTAGCCTTTTCATATATGATTGCTTGAGAGATGCTATCTCCTGCTATCTGTTTTTCATTTATCCACACCAATAACAGTCTCTCAACATCTATCACTTGCAATCTCTGTTTCGAAAACACACTTGCACCTTTTGCAAGAACAGCTTCCTTGATTGCCATTTTGCTGGCCAAGATAGTAGCGATCGTTGATTGGGGTTTGGTATACAACCTGGCCAGCTCCGAGACACACTCCACTTTTGTACTTAGGAATTATCTCTTTCTTCATTTCCGTAGTAATTTTCACCCTTTTTACTACAGGGTTGGCACTAAAAACTTTCTTGGGGCCCATGGTGACAAATTTTGCAGTTACAGGCACTAAAAACACTGTGATAATATGAAATGTACCGAATGTATGCTTAGATGCGACCGCACTGGCTGGCTTGTAAACACTGGCACCCATGGGGCAGCTGAGGCCACACGTGGGACGCATCCCAGATGAATCACCTAAGGCAAGTTTTTTATCGCGAGGCGAGGCAAAATTTTTGCGTTCCAATGCTTCATATGGTGGATTTAACATAACGCGATGCATTCGTAAGGCGGGGGTCCACGGTATATATACGGCCGAAACAGTCAAAGGGTTAATATGTTTTGCACTGTTATCTCAAATCAGAATCACTAGCATAAAAAAAGACATAAAATTCTGGTTTTAAGCAGTCATTACTTCAAAATGCAAAATTATATCACAATCAAATGCTGCACAGTAATAATGAGACAATGTACAGTAACCATAATGCAAAACGTAATATCTTAGAAAGCCCAGGTTACATTCAGTGTTTTGGGTAAGGCTTAAGCTAGTGGTGTTAATGTATGTATAAACAGATAAGGTATCACAGGCAACTCGTGTATTATTATTATTATTACTACTACTATTATGGAGAAGTGCTAAAACTGTAGAGGCCATATAGTGCCTGTGGAATGGGAAACAATATACTAGTTTCATTAAAGAATGGGGAGCATAACTCCAGTTCATTGGAGCAAGTCTTTCACTAGCATCATCACAATCCTCTTGAAGGACTATGGCTTGTAAGTAAAGGACCTTGGTCAAGTGGAGACACACTTGACCAAGGTGAAAGGAGCACTGGTACGCTCCAGTGCTATTTGAAAAATTTACTGATTAAATATATGTGTACACATGAAAATCATTTGCCAATTTTGTGTGGCATATTTCCTCCTCCAATATGGTCTTGCCATACTAACAGGGGATCCAGCTTTAAAAAAGAAAAATTGTCTAAGTCAGTCTGTCAGATTATATTATTGTTCTGGTGCTATTTTGTTCATTTTTAGTTTAAAATATTATAATTAAGGATTTAGTTGTAACAATTGTGTTTTTGTATTGACAAAAGTTATTTACCATAGGATGCAGTTGATTAGAATGACACCAACATGAAGTATTTATCACCTCACATTATATTCTTGCCATAATATGTAATGCATTTTTCAGAAAATTAAAAAGATACTAACTGAAACAAAATCAGTAATTACAGTATAATAATAATGTTAAATATTTGATGAAGATGTTACCAAAATTTGTGGTGTAACCTGAAGCTTAGTCCAAGACTGTAAATACCTGAATTATATGGTACTTTTTCAAGATCATATAGAGATAGGTCAAGTTTTGATGAGACGAAAGTATAATTAAATCAAATTTCTTATTCACAAGCAACTCACGTGTTGGACATGAAACTAGACAATATTTCATTCTTGGATTATCCTGGGTTAATAATAATCAAAATAAATTATCTTAAGAATGACAGGGCTGACAATCCTTTAAATAAGGCATGCTAGTGCTGATCACAGAGCCATTAAGGACACTTAAACAAGTTAGACAATGTTAACCTGAACTACTACAAGTTAACCAGACAGGTGACAAGAACTGCCAAACAACAGAAATTATTCTTCTTGAGTGTAATAAATCAATGAAACTGTTATCTGGCAAAGCTGATGAAAAGATAATTGTGCGGCTCTTCAAATGTCAACTGGAAAAGCTAATCAGACAAAATGAGGAAATCTTGCAAAAGTCAGAGTCTTCAAGATGACCCTAAGCAAATACCAGTAGACATGGTGGTCAACAGACATACTGTATGGTGTAGAAGAATATGAACTAAGTCTATTAAGTACAATGTTGTGTAACATCTATTAATGCAGTTTGTATATGGAATACACTGATGAAAAACTTGTAATATTTCAGCTGGTAATAGTATATACTGGGTAATAGTTAATAAGTGAAAGGAAGTTGAACAGTGAATCTCCATAAATAAACTATATATACTAGACAATCATTATAACATAATTTTTATATAAAAAAAATAAATTGACTACCACTGCACCCATTAATCCAAAATAAGAGATGCTACTTACAGACCCACAAACAAAAAACAAGAATAAAATATAGACACATGAATTATAGCACATCTTTACTGAGATATTTGATACTGTTTTTGAGTCAACTGACAGTCAGACTGTATGATAGCTTTAAAGCCTATCAACTATACGAGTCCACAATCCACCTAGATACTTATAGTGTATCAAAGTACTTTAATCCCTAAAATAAGGATTAAAAGTAAACTGTGTGCATTTACACAGAGTTAAACATCTGTCAGTGGATAGCAGATTTCATCCCTGGCCTTAAATTCATCATTATAACTATGAAATCTGTATACATTAAATATATGTGCTGTATATACAATCCACTACTGTATATACATTGTTTACATATGTACTTTAATGTATTATTATAGCAGAAATGTTAAATTGGATGCCAAATATTAAATATATCCATTCACATCCTTCGATGCTTCAGGTTACAAGTGGGGACCAGAAACTTATTTGAGATTTCTTGAACAGCAGGCTTTTTCCGAGTTTACTGAATTTACAATGCATACGAATAATAACTAATCCGAGGTATCAATCAGCTTCAACTTATTCTACATGAAAATCATTACTTCCATGATTCCAAAGTGTACAGAACTCGTGTCTAAGAAACATTCCGTCCAGCCAGTTTTTGCGATTTGACTACTCTGGCATGTAGCTCTTCCAGTTATATATCTACTGTAGAATGATGCTGTACCATACCTTTGCAAATGAATTCTTCTTCTATAATACTGTGTTTGAATAACCATTTATAAGATAATAATGTGACAGTGTGAATGATGGTGAAAGTTTGTTTTTGGGCTACCCTGCCTTGGTGGGAGACGGCCAGCACGTTAAAAAAATTAATGCAGTTCTCAACCAGATTTTTCGTTAAATATATTCCTAGTACATTTTTATCCATTACTGTACTACTCCAATCATGACACTTGCAAAAAAGATAAGTTGATGTTAAGTCTCATATTCTTACCTGTGTTAAGGCAGCCATTTGATCAACTGGTACCCTTTATTTCTTCCTCATTTAGTGCGAGTTTGTTGCAAATCTGTTTACTCCTAGTATAAATTATTCATCACAGTACAGTGGACCCTCAGTTATCAGCCGTAATCCATTCCAGAAGGTCGGCCTAAAATCGAAGTGGCCAAAAACCGAATATTTCCCATAAGAATTAATGTAAATACAATTAATCTATTCCAAACACCCAAAAATATTAAAAAAAAAAAAAAAAATACATTTTTTAAAGATTAACTATAGTTTGACATACACAAAACAATGAGAGCTAAATAAAATGACTAATGAAATGGACAAATAAACATTTAAATCGCTTTTACCTTTATTGAAGAGTCTTGTTGGCGTATGCAAAATGGCGAGGGGCAGAGAAGGAGGCGAGTTTATTATTTGAAGACAGGACAAAATGCTTAACCTTTTGACTGTTTATGCCGTATAAATACGTCTTACGCGCCAATGTTTCTGACGTATTTATACGCACAAATTCTAGCGGCTTCAAATCAAGCGGGAAAGGCCTGGTAGGCCTACATGAGAGAGAATGGGTCTCAGTGGTCGGTGTGCACCCTGTGAAAAAAATCTGGGACCCAGCGGTGCATTGTGGGAACGCCATCTTGTTAGTCCATTTTCACCATGCCTCTCTGTAAGAAGTTCCTCACTCCTCGGCGGATTGGAGGTCTTTCGTTCCCAAGTGATAGCTCTAACAGCGATGAAAATGTCAGTGACAGTGAATTCCAGGGTTTTGAAGTGAGTGTTACCGGAAAAAGTGCCCAGGATAACGTAATTAGTGATGAACACCCAGATGACCCACAACCTTCCACCTCTGGTGCTGGGCCGGCTTGTTCACGTTCACGTTCGCCTGTACCAGGACGAAAGAGGAAACTATTTGGTCGTGTACAACACCCAGATGTTAGCAGTGAATGTGATAGTGATAGTGATTTCAAGGTCATTGAAAGCAGTTCTAGTGACAGTGAGGGTGAATATTCCCCAGTGAAGCGGCAGTATGTACGACGTAGCATGCGGTCTGGTAGTGTTTCATATGTTGTTCCAAGGGGAAGGAGAAACTCTGGGAGCACATCCTGTGGCCCTACACCACGACCTGATAGTGAAGATGACGATATTGTTACGATGGGTATGAATGATGTGAGTGAGGGAGCAGGCAGTGGTGGTGATAGTGATGGTGGCACGGCCCATGTGGCACCATCAGCGGGCCACGCTACTACCCACGCTGCTGACTCTGCACAACAACCAGCCTCACCCGACCCCACACTCCCACAACCTGCACAACCACAACCACGGTACAATATCCAGAACCCACCAGCGGACCGCATCTGGGATTGGCAGGATGGTGACGAGTTTGTTCCCAGTCCCCATGACTTTGATGAAACACAAAGTGGAATAAAGCCATCATGTCCACTTGGGAACAATGCTAGTGAACTGGACTGCTTTGAGTTATTCTTCGATGAACCCCTGATGGACATCATTGTCAGGGAAACAAACACATACTATGATTACACCATGGCAAATACAATTCTCTCACCAAAATCACGGCTACACCAGTGGAAGGAGACAACTGTGGCAGAGATGTACCTGTTTTTTGCCACAATAATGCTAATGCCACATGTGTATAAGCACACTGTCACCACATGCTGGGCAACAGAACGCCTGATTTCAACTCCAGGTTTTAGTGACATTATAGGTGTCAATCGTTTCCTGATACTGTTACGTATGTTACACTTTTCAGACAAAACCAGGCCTGACAGAACCGACAGGTTATATAAGATCAGAAATGTGTTTATGTACCTGAAACAAAAGTGCTGCATGTATTTTTATCTCTTCAGGAAGCTTGTTATTGATGAGTCCTTGATTTTATTCAAAGGAAGACTCATTCAAGCAATATATTCCAAGCAAGAGGAAACGCTTTGGTATAAAGTTATTTGTACTGTGTGATTGCAGAAGTGGTCTAGTTTTGGATATCATTGTGTACACTGGCAGTAATATTTTGAGAGATACCATGAAGTTATTGGGTATCTCTGGTGATGTGGTTCGAACAATGATGGAACCATATCTTGGTAAGGGGCATATGTTATTTACTGATAACTGGTACACAAGCCCCTTACTCAGTGATTTCTTGCGAGTGAACTTGACAGACGTGTGTGGCACAGTGCGTGGTAATCGTAAACATATGCCAAGGTTCGATGCTGGCACTCGCAGAGGTGAGGTGCAAGCCTTTGCTGCCAATGACATCATGGCATTTCGGTGGCATGACAAACGTGATGTCACATTGTTTACATCAGTTCATCGAAACGAAATGGCACACAGTGGCAGGCACAACAGAGAGACCAATGAACCCATTCTAAAGCCTGCAGCTGTCATGGACTACAACCTCAATATGCGCTTAGTGGACAAATGTGACATGCAGATTGGGTTTGCAGATTGTGTACGCAAGAGTTATAAGTGGTGTATAAAACTTTTTTTCCATCTTGTTGATATCTCTATGCTAAATGCTTATAACATATACAAGTTGAAGACCAACAAATCACCAAAATATGATGAATTTTGTTTGTCAGTAATCAGACAAATAATCGCAAAGTACCAAGGAGCAACACCTGCAATAGACCAGCGCCCACGAAATTACCAACACACGTCACCTCGTTTCAGGCCTGGTGATCACTACCCCATACAACTGCCTCCTACTACTGCCAAGAAAAATGCTCACAAGAGGTGTTATGTATGTGCACATACCACAAAACGCCCACAAACACGCAGAGACACTCGTTTTATGTGTGAGGAGTGTCAAGTGCCCCTCTGCATATACCCATGTTTCAAAGAGTTCCACAAGCTGCAGCAGTTCTAGGAACGTGTTCAGTGACTGTACATATGTATATATATTATGGAACAATAGTAATAAACATTGTTTTGTATTGTTTGTTTGTGTAAACAAAGTGTATACACAAACTAATAGTGATAAAGTTTGTTCTGTTATTGTGTTGTAAACAATGAGTGTATATTTGAACAATGCACCTTACATTGGTCTCACAGGCCACATAAGTTACTTGGAAAAGAAAAATATTGAAAAATGCAAGAAACTTTTGAATTAGAGTAAATAAAAGAATACCGGGTGGGCGGCAGTCGCCGCTGTTGCCATACCCACGTTACTTTCTGCAAACTTTGCGGCTCTATATCTCGGTAAGTACTGATGGCAAAATTTTTTTTTAGGCTTAAAACACTCAGAAAAATATTCCTAACATTTTCATAAGAAATTTTTTTTTTTTCAAATATTTTGCGACATAGAATGACAGTTTCAGAAAGGGGCCTGCGACAGTCAAAGGGTTAAATTTGAGGCTATTATCAACTCTACGGCTTATTTATCACAATTCATCTGACATAAACAATATTAATAACATAGAAACATGATATATACTCTAGAATGAATAAAATACATATGTCATTACGTAGTGTTGTTGTTGTTGTTGGGTTTATAAGGGCCACTGACTGCATAAGTCGTACATATAGTGGTGGCAGCAGAGGCCACCACCACTATTCACACTGAAACAATGTACAGTGGGCCCCCGGTTAACGAACTTTTTTCATTCCAGTAGTATGTTCAGGTGCCAGTACTGACCGAATTTTTTCCCATAAGGAATATTGTGAAGTAGATTAGTCCATTTCAGACCCCCAAACATACACGTACAAACGCACTTACATAAATACACTTACATAATTGGTCGCATTTGGAGGTGATCGTTAAGCGGGGGTCCACTGTATGTAATTTATAAATAAGAAATGTATTTACACTTTAATTTATGAATAAGAAATATTTACACTTTATAAATAAGAAATATTTACACTTACCTTGGAGGAGATGCTGACATTTGTTTAGGGTAGTGGAAGATACGCAGGGTGGCATATATTGTCAGTGGCCCTATATACCTCCAACAACATTGGAGGAGTCAGTTTCGTGTCGTCCTTTTTCTATCGCTTAACTTACTTGCTACACTGTTAATGCTACACTTTATCGCTGGTTGGTACCATAGCCTTTATCGACTCCTGCTGCTTTAGTATTCTACCTATTGTAGAATCACTGAATCACTGATGAAGGCACATTCTCCCCTCTCTCTTTCACCTTCACTTTCATACTTTGCTAGGAGTTTTCTTGAATTCTATCGTGTTTCTCACTTTCTTTACCAAAGGGCCGGCACAAGGAACTTTCTTTGGACCCATGGTGGCTTATTTCGCAGTTGCACTCAATCAATAACCACTAAAAACAATGGATTATAGGAAATGTTTGGATGAATGCACGGAATCTTCCTCACTCACCCAGAGACACAGCCAGACTGACTCACGAACACGGCGGAGCGGCTGGTGGACGTGTCCAATATGGCCTATCTCCAAAATAATGACTGATAACCGGGATAGAATTTCAGCCAAAAAAGCGGGCGAAAATTGAACTAGCCGATATCCGGAACAGCCGATAACCGAGGATCCACTGTATATACAGTGGACCCTCGACCAACGATATTAATCCGTTCCTGAAAGCTCATCGTTAATCGAAATTTTTGTTAGTCGAGTTAATTTTCCCCATAAGAAATAATGGAAATCAAATTAATCCATGCAAGACACCCAAAAGTACTGAAAAAAAAAAATTTCACCACATGAAATATTAATTTTAATACACACAAACTGAAGAAGACATGTACAATTACATGACACTTACCTTTATTGAAGATCTGGCGATGATTGATGGGATGGGAGGAGGGGAGAGTGTGGATGGTGTTAGTGTTTAGAAGGGAAATCCCCTTCCATTAGGACTTGAGGTGTCAAGTCCTTTTCCAGGGTTACTTCCCTTCTTCTTTTAATGCCACTAGGACCAGCTTGAGAGTCACTGGACCTCTGTCACACAACATATCTGTCCATAGAGGCCTGTACCTCCCGTTCCTTTATGACATTCCTAAAGTGTTTCACAACATTGTCAGTGTCACAATTAAACACTTGTTCAGGTTTCAATTCTTCACTGTCTATGTACTCCTTGAATTCCTGCACATATTTTTCAGCTGCTTTTTGGTCCGAACTGGCAGCCTCACCATGCCTTATCACACTATGTATGCCACTACGATTCTT